TATGGGTATGTGATATCTTTAAAGCCAGACAAAACTACGTCAAGGTTAACAGTGAATCAGAATTCTTCTGTGAAATTGTCCCAGACCATTGACTAAAAGTGGCCATGTTGTTCATCAATATTTTATTAAATAAATCAATTTTTCATATTATATTCTGGTGGAAATTATATCTCAAAATGGGAAATGTTTTGTGCATTTCTCCCTCATTCTTTTATGTAGCATATGTTTATCACATGTCAAGGCTGAGTCCCTACTTTCTCTCTTCACAGAAATACCAGAAATTCTTCTGCAAAGCAAACAAATCTGTCAAGAACCTCTGGAACTACCAGAGGCAATCCCTGTTTCAGATCAAAGATGCAAATCACTAATAGGCATTGCATGACCTCCAAGGTGTCACAGGAGACCAATTATTCAACACAAAGGCAACCCAACAGAATAACACTAAAACAGTAAATTCAGGTAAGCTTCTAAAAAACAAACAAACCAGTAGTCGACAGGATTCATGTTACCTTTCTGGATCAATGGTTCCAAGATAAAACCATTATTTGCGGAAGGGAGGTGTTATAGATATAAAATGTCATGGAATGTCTTGGGATATGAAAAATAGCTATAACTAAAACTATTTTTTTCCAATTTACAATTGAGTTAAAAAAAAAAAATAAAAATATTTGCCTGTATTTCTCATCATTCATTGCCCTAACTAGAGCAGTGTCTGTGTGTCTCATTCATTCACTGCACTAACTAGTGCATTGGAGTTTTACGGATAAGATGAATATAGGAATAAATTATTCAGTGTAGATAACCACTGTACTGCCCTACACTAGCCCAGATACAAAATTTCCTCATGCTTTTTACAACCTGGACATAATTAGCCTTCAATACAAGTACAAACAGACAGCCGTGATTTCCAAGGCCACTATTTCTTCCATGCTTTAATGCAGTGATTTCTAAAGGGTGTGAGGCAACACATTAGCAGCAGAAGTGTCTAGCAAAAAAAATGTGCAAGATTGGGCCTCTTGCTACACTGGCCCTTCATGGCAGGATCGGGGCCTGGTTGGGCTAGCAATGCATATATGATTGAGCTCATGGATTGGATCCAGCATGCAGACTGGTGAGTGAAGTGTGCTGTCAATTTTAATCCAAAGAAAAAGTGTGTCCTAGGTGTAAAAAGTTTTGGAAACACGGGTTTAATGTAGTGGTGCTCAAGCTTTGGCCTCATAGGCCAGATGAGTGATTCAGAGCTGGTCCACAGGCCAAATTGGGCCCCACGTGCCAGAATTAGGCCTGCACCTGATCCAGCATTCAGAGCCATGTTATCTGGTCCCTGGGTCTCCCCCTGGGTATGGAAGTTTGACAGCAGTGCAGGGATGTTACCACTCCACTGCCACCGTATTTCCAGACCCAGCGTGAGCTCCATGGGCTGGATGACAGGGGCTGGATCTGGCCTGAGGGCCCCAGGTTGAGCACCTCTGGTTTAATGAAGCAATAACACAGAAACATATGGGCTGTGTGCACTAAGGCAAGAGTGTCAAATATTTGGCCCATGAGCCACATTCAACCTGCAACATTCCCCACCACCCCCTTCTAAACCACTGGGCTACCAGTGGGTCATGGACAGTTTGGGGGAGCCACTCATGGTGGGCAGGGCCTGCCAGAGAATCCAGGGTCCCAGTAGACACAGACCTTGGTGGCAGGGGGACAAACGATGGATTTGCTGACATAGCCCCACTTGCTCTGCAACCGCTCAGCCTCCATTACAGTAAGCAGCCACCTACCCCATTGCCACCATCCTCAGCCCAATGGATCTGGCCCACCAAGAAACCTAGTGGATGAGATCTAACCCGAAGCACAGAATGATTTTGACATCTCTGCACTGAGGCATGTGGATAAAGCTCCCATTCCATTAAGGAGTAGTGACCACACACAGGCAGTACAATGGCATTTAAAGGCAGGAGGGCCAGGACCTGGGGCAGGAAGTCTCTCTAAGTCTGTTTCCTACCCGCACTGGGCAGCTTAGCTGGGTGATGGAGACAGTGATTTTTTTTAAGCTGGTAGAGCTGGGAACCAGGCTGGGAGGCTCTCTTCAAGCCCAGTTCTCAGCCCATAAAAAAAAAAAGCTCAAGTGCCACCCAGCTGTGCAGTGGGGACAGCAAAGGAAAGCTGGCAGCAGGAACTTGGCTTCATGAGCATCTCCCTGAGCCCACTTCCTAGTTCAGCCATTGCTACTCTGTTGATAGTCTTTGGTTTGAGGACCAGACTGTGAGGGGAGCATAGGGAGATCTTTCTGGTTGACTTCTGAAAGATCTCTCTTGAAGGCAGCTTATTTCCCATAAGAAAAAATGAATGAACGCTTGTACGCTTACAGTTTCTCCTGAAAAATCAGCAACTATCCTGACAGAAATAGAATGCCTTTAGGTAGCCAAAGACACCAGTACAAAATTGAAGATGACTGGTCCACCCAGCTTCTGTGCTAAACTGTGCTTCAGTCTTATGGGTAAATTCAACACTATAACTTTCCCATTACAAAATAGTTCTATTTGTGTTTGTTGTACAGAATTACAACACAGAACAGTGGAAGTCTGGAAAGTCAAAGTTAAGGCTAGTAGTGTTAGAGTAATGTTACACAGTCTCAGGGTGATATCTTTAGTTAAAGCTAGAATTCAATCTTTATCTAACCTCCCTTCCCTGTGCCTCCTGAGCCCTGAACATCCCTCAGACACACATCCCATCATTTCCTGATGAATTTGGAATTGGGTATTAGGAGAATTTAATGACGTGTCAGTTCTGTAGCAACCTTAACATTATTTAAACAGGTTTTGTGTTTAATAGGCAATTTGTATTTAATCGAGTTTATCCATTTCCAAGTTATTTGTTTAAAGATGCTTTAACCTTGACATAAATCAGTGCCAAGCATGTGTATACATTACATTTAAAGGGTTTAATAATTAAGCCCTTTGGAGAACCACGATTCACAAGTTTCATACAGAAAGAGGAAATGCTTGCCCTTTTCTTTCTATTTAATCTCTATTCCTCCACAATTTTATGGATTATTTCATCTGTACGCTAATGTGTTTTTGTAAAGATCACCATGAAACACCAGTATAATTACTATAACAATACTACCACCCCTCATCTCCTGAATGCCTGTTTCTTCCTAATGTGACTGTGATTGCTTATATAAGATGGTAGGGTCAAGGAATCCAAGACCTTGGTCTGTGTCCTGTGGTAAAAACCTTTTGGAACACATGCACATTCTTCCCTCCTCCTTTTCCTCTGTAGAAGGCAACCATCATTACACTTAAGACCTTGTAAATAATAAGAAATGTATTTCAACACTCCTTTCCACTCGACTTTATATAAAGTACTGAGAATAGCAATTCTGTGTAACTTACAAAAAATAATGCTAAGCAAATTATAGGCGTTACCTACTTTTAAAAACTGATTTTTCTTCTTTAATTTAATTACACAGAACAACAACTACAAAAATATGCTTCAGACTCGAAGGCAAATTTCAACCTTTACTAAACAAGAATTAACATATAACACATAAGCTATGGTTTAGATTGGATTCTATCCTGATAATTTAACATTTATCTGTTTGAAAAAATTGGCGAGATCATGTACTCTAAGAAATACAAGTTTTCAACTTTAAAAAAATCTTTCAGCTTTTTCAAATATTTTTGGCATTAACTTTACAAACGGAAAAAATCTCGTAAGAGGAACAGTTCATAGTTCTTTTCAGATACAGAAACATTAAAATGACACATCTGGGAAACCAAAGCACACTTCAACCCTTACTGTCTTTTCAGGCCTGTATTGACTACTTTATAATAGCTGCCAACATTCAGTAAGGATTATCCTTTGATTTAGACAAAAGAAAACATTCCTTAGCTAAATCAGCACTTTTGCCATCAGACTCATAAAACCTTTTCACAACACGGATTTTCAAGAGAATCCTTTAAGGTTTTAGGATGCTGCTCCTTTTACTAAGTAACAAAATACACCCCATGGTGTCTCATTGACCCCACTCAGCTCTCCTCTGACCTCTTCAATTGTTGTAGCCTAACTTCAGGGGCCACAGAATTTGCCTCCCATATCAAAAAGGCTAATGTTGCTTCCTCCTAGCACCTGGTGAAACAAAATGCAAGAGGTTCCCCACCCCCCACCCTGACTACTACTATGTTCCAGATGTTCCCAACTACTAAGTTACTGAGAGCAAGCTTTGGTATCTGCATGGTAACCAAGAAGCAACAAATTAGAACCTGGACTGTGGCAATGACCCTCTTGTTCAATTGGGCCTCAATGCTGCCACTGCCCTAAGGATACAACAGGTCATAAAACAGGAATAGATTGTCAGCCTCCTGGAAATGCTTGGCCATTACAATACAGCGAGAAACCATTTTGAGTTCAGCGTCCTATTCAGAGCCTCCCGCAGTCACCAAAAATATTGTTGAAAAGCTCCCAATTTGGAATGCACATCTATTTTTAAATCACTGCAAAATTTAATGACTCACATTCTTTTCCAGACTTGCTTTAACTTTTTTGAGATGCCAACCAAATAAAACACTTCATGTGTACCCATGTACATACAGAATACAAGTGCATTCCTAAGCATTCATTTACTTTTGCAGAACAACAAAAGCTACTCTAGATTTACAGGCAAATTTCTATATTTATCGCAAGTTTGGGTGCTGGCAGAATTTAAGGTAAAGCATCAAATTAAGGATAGCAGTGGTATCAAACTAAGTAATCAAACTGAAAGCAGAAAAGAAAGCCTTCAGTAATATTGATCAGTGTTTCTTAGTGAAAGTAGTTTAAAAATTAACTAGTTCACTTAATTAAAGGATATTTGCGGTGTTGAAATATGTACATTAAATAATTCAAGAATAAAAGTGTGTCACATGCAGCTCCTCCTAATCCTAAAAAACAGCAGAGATTACAAAAGTGGATGTTGAAAATAAAATTCACATGTTCTATATTAGGAATACCAAGTACAATACCTTCCTGTGTTTCTTTTAGCCTTTTCGAAATGCATTCATTTTTAAAGCTCGTAGCTAAGAGTTTGAGAAAACTGCTGCCACGTTATCTAGATTTTTTAGGTTCTTTCGTACCTGCAAAATAATGAGGGAGAAAGAAAACAAAATAAATTATACCAGTGAAGATTCAACATATGATATGCTTTGCAATAAGTCATTAAAAATCACCTATCAAAGCTCATATTTGGGAAAAATATTGGACAGAGTCTCTGCACTGACTAACTCTTCTTGCCAATTTCTATGTCTGCAGGACTGGAAGCACTTTTTTGTTGTTTGTGCAAGCTGACAAAAATGAAGAAAAAAGCATTTTGTTTTAAAAAATAGGTGGTGTAAATTATATTACATTTTCTGCAGGATGTGCATAGCTCCCTCTGTGCCATTAAATAACAAGACAATCAGTTCCTTTGGATCGAATGGCAAGAGGTTTGACTATTTGATCCAACCCCACTGAAGGGGTTGGATCAAATGGAATTTTGCTACTAATTTCAATGTTTGCAGAATAAGGACCTAACATATCGAGAACTTGCTTAAAGGATAAAAAAGAATCTTTTCTGCAGCAGTGTAAATACTAGGACAAGTAATTAAGACAAGTAATTTTCATACCTTTTCTTTTAAAACATATGTATCTTCAGAGAAAAAGTCAAAATTATTTCTAGAGAAAAAATAAGAGGGTGGACTATAAATTTTTCCCCTCCCCAACACCACAGTAGCTATTAGAAAAACAGTGCAATTTCCTAATTTCCAACTCTAATTCCTAAAAAGAATACTTTTAAGAGAGCTATGAATATGGCAACAGAGTTTGTTACAAACAGCATAGATGTCAAGTTCTGAAGCACCTAGAGAGTTGAGAAGATTTGTAAACAAAAGAGAAAGGCTTAAGTCAACCTATCGTTGGACAAATTATATTTAATGTACAAGATCTTCCTAGTCAATACAGGCAATCCATGTTTCAGCAATGAATAGGCCATATTATGCCTGCAAATATTAAAAAAAAAAATCACCCGTTGATTGCAACTGCAATAAGTACTTGCTAGACAGTGTTCACAGACATTTTTGAAAGCATGGCAATAATGCGAAATAGGTCTGGATTAAATAAAAGATTCTCTCCGATGATATAATTTTGTTTCTCTCTCCTTTTTCACAATCCAAAAATTTAAAAAAAAGAGTCCTTGAAGTTTTACTTTACCTCTTAGAGGAGAAAGGCCTTTCCCCATAACACAAAATACACTGAACTAAAACATATAAACACAGCACATCAAGATTCATAGTCATTGGGAATACTCTGAGCCACACAACCTCACTGTCCTAGAAACAGTAAGTTTATCATGGTAAAAACGGTTAAAGAACAGAACTTTTGACCACACTGTAAAACTCCACAAAGGCTTTGATGACTGAAAAAAATCCATAATCCAATTCCAACAGCTCCTGGGTCTGAAATTGCTATTTTTTGGCCACGTGCTGAACATTTCACCTGCTAGTAATGACATTTTTGTATTTTCTTCTAATTACACTCAAAGTTAAGACCTTTGGCCCTAGGCCACAGACCTCTATTCAGGCTGCACACATTCTCTTAAATGCCCTGATCCTTTGTTGTCACTCTTAGTCTTTCATCTATTATTTACATCCATTGAGAAGGGAGATACTCTACCATTTGTGAAGCTTTAAAGCTTCTAATCATCTTAATTTCTTCGCCTTTCAACCTATGCTTCCCCTCACGAACCAATGCCAAACAACGTGACAAAATCATTTTTCAAGCCACGATCCCCATCTTCCCAAAAGCCCCTCCCTAAACCTTGACATAATGCTGGCCCCTCTGTGAGTGAAGACTCATTTTGTTCTTATCTGACTCAGACCTCTGCTGCTTTAAAAAAAAAATCATTCTCTTTGAGTTCAAGAAGTCAACCCCACTTAAGTACAGCTAAATTAGGAAATATTGTATTACTTGTTCCTTTTTATTCTGAGTAATATATAAAATGCAGAAATCACTATTTATTTAGAACAGCTTTGTTAGCTTCCCCAGACACAGATTTATCAAGTGTACTCGGTCTTGGATTTATATTTTTACATAAAATTAATTAGCATTCATTAAAATAGAAGTGATGGAAAGAAAACATACTTGCATGCTTGCATATCCAAAATAAAAAGACACAAGGAGTAATAAAAATAAACACAGAATATAGTGCCATCAACATGTTATTTTTAGTATTGCAAAGTTAATTTCTCTTAAAGTTAAAATCAAAGGAAACAATGAAAAGCACAATTTCTTCCTCAGATCCCACAAATACTCTTCTGACTGTGCCTCACATACAAAGAACAACAGAAAACAAGTAATAACATTTTTACCATGACAGAAGAAATTCCCAGATCACTGCAGCCACCAAATAATCTTAGCTTCCAACACATTTGGAATATGACAACACGTGATTCATCTTGGTTCTTTCTTCCAGTGTTGCTTGGCTTACTCCTGATTTCTAACAGTGTTTCCTTGTGGTTTGTCCCCTCTGAGGACCCCCAACCCCCTTGTCTTTTCTTATTTTCACCATTTGCTTCAACCAGCAGTTCACTTGAGACCCATCCATCTTACAATGCCTAAAGTGACAGATGCTCTTAGGAATGACCATACTGCTGAGTGAACAAAAGATAACATCACCTCTAGGAACTCAAGGGAGAAATACAACTGCAACCTTAAGACAGGGTTGTCCTAACGGACACTGCACCATAAACTTCTCTCAAGTGAAAAAAGAAAACAATTGCAAAAAAAGGAATCTGCCACAATCAAAGGGAGAAAAAGAGTGGGGTTGCAGGGGTTTTTTTGTTGTCACTGTGATGGCCTTTTCACTCTTTGTTACCTCCATGGAAAATTCTTGTTGAATTGAAACAGGATGAAATAAAGAGGTTTAAACTGAAGTTGGGAAAGACTACATATAAATTGTATTAACTTTTGCATGGTTTTTAGAGCAATCATAGCCTTTCAGTACAATTTTAACACTATCCCACATTCTTCAGCAAAAATCACAATTACTTGTTGATCCCATTTTACAAGATGGTTAAAAGTTTCTACAGAACAACTATCACTCAATTAAATTCTATAGGACTGTTCTCTAGAGATAAAACACATCAACGGAGGAAGTTCTGAGGCACGGGAAATGTACATGTGCATGGGTTACACACAGACAGATCTGCTTCAACTGTCACTGTTTTAAAGCCATAAATATTTGTGCTTCATTAATATCTAATATTTACTACAGTTCAATGGCATCTTGACACAGCTGCCCTGGACATTCTAGAACAGGTTTATTTTAAATACATGAAGAAAACTTAATTTAAATGATACATTTTCAAACAGAGAGTATAACGTAGCCTGCAATTTCAGTTGGGAGTATCAACTCCAAGTCATAACATATACATAACATTTATTATTAAATCGGTACGTGACCACACTTACAAAGCCTCAGAGGGAGTATTTTAGGTGGTGCTATACATCTCTTACATAACAAAGAAAAGGCCATAGTAACATCTCCCAGCAACAAACTAATGTAATGAGTGAGGAGCTATGGACACTAGAGAAGGGAGCTGTGCATGCTAAGATTCTCTCCTTCACTTTCTTGCCTCCTCCACCCCACATCAAGGATCTAAAAAGGATCTTGCCTTCAGTATTCAAACAATCAAAGGAAATAAGCTTCATTGCAGAATTCAAAATTACTGATGTCACCTGAGCATACAAGCAAAACTAGAAACCTGAGACAAAAAAAACCAAACAAAAACAAATCAAGAGGAGGACTAATTAATGCAACATCTTGAGTTCAATGTTAGTTTGTTATCCATAATCAAATGCACATTTCTTAATCTATATTTATTAGTTGCACAGTAATTTCTTCACCATCCATAAATAATTTTAAAAAACCCGAACCTAGAGATATTGCCATAAATCTTCACATACAAACTAATCCATTTCTAATGTACTTCAATTTTTTTTCATTGAGCAGAAAAAAAGTAAAACATTTTATAAAGACTAGTACATCCCCCTCATCTTTTTAAAAACTGTAGTAAATTTGGGAATTTTACCTTACTCTGAAATGAGGATCCATCAGTTTAGATCCCTGTGTCACGCTAAAGTTGGTAGGATTCTGCAAGTGCAAAGGCCTGGGCAAAGAAGAGCTGGATGCAGGCTCAGGGTCTTGGTATCATAAGTTCTTAAATAAATTATTAAACCCCACTGCAGGTCATGTAGTATGGTTACCATTTCTTCATGGTTCGAGATATCCCAGGTGTAGAGAATTAAACCACAGAAAAAGCAGATTGGTTCTTCTGCAATTAAACCTATTACATAGGAACCCAAAAGGAAGACTACTCTGATTATCCCCAAAGGATAGCTCTCAATTGTGCCTCCATACCATCATATGGACACCTGTACCCACTCAGCTTTCTATGTCTACCATGGAGTCATGCTGCTAAAGCTTACATTTCTGGCTGCTGTCCCTCAAAAGTTTTCATTTAGGGTGAAAAGGGCCTGAAGAAAAACTATGCAGAACCCTGGCCTGTCATAGCTAACAGTTCTCCATCTCAGAGATGGCCCCATAATAGGAGGAGAAGGGAGGAAAAACACCTTAGTTATGTGAAGGGTGACCATACATCCATTTTTTCCCAGGACAGTCCCATTTTAAACACTTATCCTGGATGTCCCATTGCTTTGGTAAAATGAATTCTTTGGTTCTGTTTTCAGAAACCTCCAGGGATCTCCAATGCGCAGCAACCCCCCATGGTGCTCTTATATTTTAAAAATCACAGCTCCTGGAGACAAACAATTAGTTAAGAAATCTCAGCTTTCTTTAAAAACAGGGTAGGGAGGCAAAGAAAATTTCTGAACTAAACCCTCATGCACAGAAGTTTGGAAAACATGAAATATGAAAGATTAAATAAGAAGAAGTATATACAAAATCAGTTGGGGGTCAACTTCTTTGCCAGGTGTGACGCAAGGTAAAGCCTGCTCCCTCCCCAAGTGCTATTCTGATCCCCTTCTCCTGCCCAATCCATTGCTCTACTCTCTCCTGCCTCGCCAATCTGTTGCTCTGCTT